TTAAATACCATAAAAATCTAAAATCACTGCTATTACATAACTTTTGTTTTACTCCGTTTACCGTAAATTGACAAGAAATACGCAGTTCTAATTTCTAACGAGCATGAGTCACGCGTCAAACATACCTACATGTTACAAAATGATTACAAATATGTCCAAAATTAATCTGAAGTTTGTAACTCTTTGTATGAAATTGGGACAACTTTTCTTTTTTTTTTTGAGAATTTTGATGAAGGTTACCGAATGTTTCTTCAAATCACAACGATAGTTTACTAAAAAGAGAAATTTTTTGTGTTATACATATTAATATTCTATAATTTATTTTATAAACGACTAAATAATTGTCATATTAAATTTTAAACTATTTGTGGGTATGTACATAAAATATTTATTTCATAATTATGAACAGACAGTACTAAAAACATTATTATAAATACGGGATGAGAAATTGCGTGATAGGAGAAAAATGTGGTGTACAAGATGATGTCGTGACCAGGATTAAGAAAGGAATGCTTCGGTGGTTTATTCATGTAGAAAGAATGAACGAGGAAAGAGTGACAAAGCAAATTTATACTGCAGATGTGAACGGCAGATTCGGGAAGGGACGCCCTAGAGCCCTAGACGAAGTTTTATCGACCAAATAGGCGATATTTTGAAAATGGGCCACATTAAGGGTACCCTTAACCAACGAGCGTGTATGCGTAAATGTACGGATATAAAGGAGGTGAGAGAGGTGTGTCAGGATCGTGTCAAATGGAAGAATATCTACTTATATCGTCCCGTGGGTGTCGTACGAGGCAAAGGAAGAAAAAAATCAAGAGATGGGTAGTAGCGTCTTCGTGATAACTACTAAAAACTAAACATGCGTTTGCCAACTCGTCTGCAAAGCGTGTCAGTCATGAGAAATATCCTCTATGCGGTGGTCACAGCAGTGAACTTTTGGATAGGCCATACGGGACGAAGTACAGTATAACATACAATACCTTCAAAAGTATTAAACTTGGATGTTAATAACCTCTGGGATGGGTAATCGCTATCAAGCCATTTCTAATTCGTTTTGTGTTGATAATTGTAACGTGCATGATTGTAAGCTATTATTTGAAAAGAAATAGTCCCGCTGGGTTTCTTGCTGGTTTGTCCCAGGACCGAGGTTTTTTTTGCAAACCAGTGGTAAATGAAAAAAGTGACTTTCAATAAGTATTGTTTACAATCTATATTGAATAAAAAAGTTTCTGTTTCTGTTTCTGTTTCTTGAGTATGGAACAGACAAATACTACGATAATTTTAAACGTGGTAGAGCCATGCTGCAGCTATGTTAGTATTATAGTGGTAGCACGAATTGGTCAACTCGACCAGGGAAGGACCACGCTCTCACAAAATACCAGCGTAAAATAGCAGCGTAATGCTGGTGTGTTTCGTATGGTGAGTGTAGAGAACCGGAGACCCTTTTTAATGGAAACGAGGCATTCCATCTTAGTCGTCACGGGTGACAACGCATCTGCATTTTGATTCGTGATCGAGGGTTGATGTAAATGTCTATGGGCCGCAGCAACCACTTACCATCAAGTGGACTGTGTGCTCGTTTGTCACCCTATCCTATAAAAAATATGTTGTATGACTAAGCGAGTAGTAACAGCGGAAAGAGAGAGAGAGAGAGAGAGAGAGGGAGAGAGAGAGAGAGAGAGTTTTAATGCTATTGCATATAAATACAGCACTAATTAGTAATTTTTTTAACACAAGTAAGGATGACACAACAAACATCATCACGTTCGCATCATCGCACATCATTATGGTGCCATACATATACTGAAGTATGACTCTACCACGTAAAATACGTTTATTTTTATCTCTTCTCTACACAGTATAAAACAAAGTAGCTTCCCGCCGTCTGTACGCACATCTTTTGATCTACGCAACGGATTTTGATGAGGTTTTCATCAATAGACAGAATGATTCAAGAGGAAGGTTATGGAAAATGACCCGTGCGAAGCCGGGGTGAATCATTAGTAGTATATAGTACAAGGCAGACACATCTCACATCGCAAATTAAATAACGTTCACTCACTTTTCCTATTTTACTCGTAATAACTGGGAATGGAAATATAATATCTATCTATCTATATATATATATATAATATAAACTGAAATAAAATGAACCATATCCTCTTTATTTTCCTTCACTCTACGGAGTTTTGCTAGTGGTGCTGGCCAAAGAGAATATAATCACTACGCTTAGTGCTAGCTGTCATCGATAGTTTTTATTTTTATTTTAGTTGTGTAAATTATTTCGCTACTTGTAATCTAAGTTGAATAAAAATTACAATATTTCATTATTACCTTGTTACATTCCTTGGGAGAGGTTTAGTATATTCAGCAGTAGACTTGTGAAGGGCTGTAATGATTACGATGATGATGCTTCTATTAAATTCTCATATCAAAATAAAAATCGGTGAAGAATTTATATGGGACCGCGTGTGAAATCTATTATCAGACGAGTTAAAATAAAAAGGAGATTCTCAATTCAGCTATACTGTATGTCCTTTTCGTATGTTGTATGTTACGCGATATCTTCACCAACTGTGAATGAGTTTAATGATTTTTTAAAATTAAATAGGTAGATGTAATACTCATAAGGGTGGTCCAATTTAATTTTGCCTCTAACCGTTGCACTCAGAAAGGTTCTTTAAAGTAGTCTTAATAAGTACTTAAGTAATTATCATTAACTCCGTTAGCGAACGGGTCATCTCAGAGACATTCATTAGTTTGTTCATTAGTTAATGACCACTCCGTAAGTCGGAGCAACATCAAATGACGCTATCGATTCCATATGGACAAAGTGTTGGTGTGGACACATTTAAAAAGTGATGATATTAAAATGGAAACCACCTGTAGCGAAGTACCGTAATGTAAGCAGTAACTTTATTTCCGGGGCAAATAGTAATGCTCTTTTTGTTGATTTGCTTAGGTCGGTCAGCATAGGTAATAGTACAGTTTCAGGTGGTTAATCTATATCGTATAAAAACTCTTGAACAGAGTATTTTTAAAGGGATCACAGTAATCTCTTAAGTACCGCCTCGGTCCCACTTCCCTATACCGTCTAACATGGTCCACAAATGCAATAAACTCTACAAGATCACACATTTTACTTTATAATATAATAACTAACGCGAAATCAATTGAAAATATCAATATAACTTCAAACGTTAATGTCAGATCAACCATTAAAAAGTTAGGTAAATGTTTTGCTGTTCTTAACTTTAATTGTCATTAAGGGACGCTAATGAACTGTTAACTGACTCTGAGAGTGAACTTTTAAGTCTATACCAAAGCGTCTCTGAGTGCGGCGGTTAGGCTTAAATATAAAGGATGAAATTTTTAATGAAATTGTTTAGACCATATTCTTGTTGATACCTTAAGCTTGAGATACTCTCACACACTTGGTAGAGCCATGTTGCAGTCATATTATGGTTGTAGCACGAATGGGTCCACCGGGGAGGACCACGCTCTCACAAAATACTAACATAAAATAGCTGCTCAATGTTCCTCTGTTTCATAGGGTGAGTGTAGAGAACTGGTTATTAGAAACGAGGCATTCCATTTCAGTCCTCAAAGGTGACAACGTATTAGCATTTTGATTCGTAATTGAGAATAAATGTAGATGTCTGTGGACCACAACATCCACTTATCATCAGGTGGACTGTGTGCTCGTTTGTTATCCTTATTCTATAAAAAATCCTCAATCCAATCACAAGGGTTAATAGTTTCTTAAGTCGAAGGAGATACAAATTCTTAGTACAGTTTTTACTTTTTTATTATAAATTTTATATTTTTTCTTTTTTTCTTAAAATTTTAACATAGAAATTTACAATATTCTTCGTATCTTTCTTTCACGTATATTCTTCTTTTGTCTGATGGTGAGTGGATGCTGTGGCCCAAAAATATCTACATCCGTCCTCGATTAAGGATCAAAATGTAGATGTGTTTCACCCTTGAGGATTAAGACGGTTTCCAATTAAAGGTGTCGGATTCTCGAAACTCAGTGTACAAAAAAAAACAGCCTTAAGCTACCACCTTACACTGGTATTTTGTGAGAGCGTGATCCTCCCTCGGAGCCGACCCATTCGTGCTACGACCATAATATAGCTGCAAAGTGGCTCTACGTCATGTAAATTCATATTGTACATCCCCGTTTCTGTGGCAGATTTAAATTTTAATGACTAGATTATCACTTAAACTATGCAGTATCTTCCAGCAATTTAGGTACTCTGTCTGTATGTTCTGAACTGCAGAGAAACTACCTAATATTTTTCTGCACAAAATGCGTATACTAAAAGAACTGAAGGAATGAATTTAACTTTTTCGCTCAACGAATCCAATCGTTCGGTTCAGTACCTACTTCACTTACAGTAAATCGAATCAACGAATATGAGAAATAAGTAATGAATCCGAGATTTGTGATAAGCCGCAATATACATATTAGGTAAATAAAAAATCGTTTTGTTTACTAGTTTGTAACTACTTCTGTCTAGTTGATAACTTAATATCATTATGATTACTTAGCATATAAAATTAATCGCAGCCAAATGTACTACGATTAAATACCCTGTTTATCAACTTATAATATTAGCATTAAATCCTAAAACTAAATTCTTTATCCAAATTAATATATTACTTGTTTCGACATACAAAGCCACATAATCGATTGATAAGAACAAATCTAACAGTATTATACAGAGTTATAGAAAGGCTTTCATGTAACACGTCAATTACGCGCCCTAAAACTTCGCACCGGTGCGTTAACGTTAATCCGTGAAGCTCGCATGCATTGAGCGACGTAGCGGGGGATAACAATGGCTCTTGCGGACTCAGAGACGCGACGACAGTGCGGCCGACACTGCGGCACAGATATGCTGTGCTCTGCGCGTTGCTCTTGTTTCCTGTGTCGAGAACTGCAATCCTGCCGCGCAGCAGACGCGAGGAAACCACCAGGGAAACACAACATGTCAGATAATTTTATCCTCAAGAAAGCAGAAGCTTGGGAACCTATCAAGTTTATCCGTGGTGCCGCTCGGCTGTCAGTCCGACATTGGCAGAACAGGGAGCCTCAAGCGAACCCCAAAACACGGATCGTTGCACACAAGTCTACGAGTTGCGAGCAATTGTATCCAAAGACAGACGAAGAACCAGGTCCTTATCCAATTAGAAGAGCTCCTAGTACAGATAGAATCAAACCACACATGGAACATAAACCACTTTTTAAAATGTTGGGGAACTCACGTTCGAAGAAAGTTAATAGTAGTGATGTTCCCGATTCTAAGGTGCGCAGAAGTGTTCTTAACTTTAGAAAAAGTGAAGGATCACCTTCCAAAACTGTTCATGAGAAATATATGCCGTTGCCACATGCTTCATCTCATAACGAGCACGTTTACAATGGACCCAAACCTTGGACGTCTCAGTTCGATGAATGTTGCCGGCCTCCAGTCTATCAAAGTGTTGAAAAGAAAAAAGATGATAAAAAAGGTTCGATGAGCGAAAAAAAGGCTTTCAGCAACAGACCACCTTGTTATGAAGAGCTGGCTGAAAGGCTATCACAAGACAAAAATAAAAAAGTGAAACTCCCCACGCGTGATGGAGAATTGGCTAATAAAATTACGCAAAACAATAACAAAGTTGTCATTTACTTTGGAGATTCAATCATTCGTAAACATAGTGAACAGAAAAAAGAGGAGAGAGAAGCTAGAGAGAAGGAAAGTACGCCGTCAAAAGAAGAAGCTATTTACGTTAACCGTCCTTTGGAAGATACAGAAAATTTGGAAATTAGTAGAGAAGAAGATAAAGGCGGAACGCAATTAATATCAGAGATCGAAGTACCTGAGGCTATTTATTCTGAGATCAAACCTGCTGAAGGTGCTGCAGAAATTTCAGAAGTGCCAGCAATAAATGACACAACTTACAAGAAGGATGTTTTCGAGACGCTGAGCCCCGATGGATTTCTGGTGGTGGAGTTTGAAGGGAACTTCGAACGAGCACGTCAGTTGGTGGAGCTGGTTCACGGTGGAACTGGAGTCGATCGTCACGAAGCTACGGTGCTGGACGACGAAGATCAGTTCGATTGGAGCTTCATACAAGACTGGAGAAAACGGTTAGTAATTTTAACTCACTAGTAATTTTATGGAAATATATATATTTATATTCAATATAGATTATAAATAATATTTATCGATAATTATAAATAATATATATAGTAGGTTCGGAAAATACTTCTGGCCTATGTGGAACCAGCAAGAAACCCAGCGGGACTTTTTTTATATAATGTACAGTTTGCAATCACATATGTTACACAATTAACAGCACAAAACAAATTAGAAATAGCGTGGTAGCTATTACCTAATTTTCCCGCCTCTTTACACAATCAGTTTTTCAATATAGCAGTTTATTTAAAGGAGTAGGAAACAAATAATAAATGTCCTAAATGTGTTAATGCAAAGGTTAGTAACCATTGATGTATGTATAACTCAATGTTAGTAACTCAATAAACACCGTTCTTTGGGTAAATATTTCAATTTTCTTTCATATATAATAATTTGTTGTTATTAAAAACGTTTATAATATAATCCTTTTATGCTTTTTTGTTTAATAAAACATTGGAACATTGCTGTTGTAAAATTTTGTATAGTTTCTAGTTATATATATAACTACGCTAACTTATTCATATTTTAACCGCTATGATGCGATTTACACTATAAATGTTTTTAATTGTATGGAGGAAATGACTACACGGAAACATGGCGAATGATCTAAGATATGTGTGTTATATAAAGTGCTTACTACATTCTTTTCAAATTTCTATAACAACTTGGATTATGACGCCATCAAAGTGGCTTTAATAACGAAATACAGTTATATTTACGCACATCTTAATCTTACAACGCAACTATCATACTATTCATGACATGACATGAGGTTTTTTTTATTTACGAGTATCTATTTACATACAAGACAGAAACAATCACACACTGAGTTCGTACAAACGTTATACTAATTCAATAACTTACTGAAATATATTAAAAAAGAAAAATACAAACAAAATAGTGCGTACATTACTATTATTGCTAGTGAATAAATAATATACATGATATTTTATAAATTATAATAAATAGTACGATATTTAGTAATAATATACACGATAACTGATTGTCAGGGTATATATATATTTGATTCGATTGACAGCAGTAGAACAAATAGACTTAAGTAATATAATTTAAAACACTTTAGTTAATTATATGTAAACTGAAATAAATAAGGATTGCTATTTACGCAAAAACTAAATATTTAAGAAAACTAAATACAAGTCTTCAAGATACATTGAGTTGGTTCTGCTTAGATTGAACTGAAATAATCATTAAAAAGTAAAGGTATTCCGGGTTAACTATGACATCAGGACGTCAAACGTCTCAGTACTGGGGTACCCGGTATCCCATTTAACCGACATGCTGAGATAATTCGAGTGACCCTGCCAAAAGCACTGAGGTCCCTGGTATTTCATTTACCCGACATATTGAGACGATTCAAGTGACTCCGTCAAAAATTAACACGAAGAATACTCTATCGTTGACGTCATACCCCATGGCGATCCATCACTTGAAATGTCTGGTGACCAATTAAAATATTATGTAAATAGCTTAGCTCAATAAAACTGAAACTAGATTATTGTTAAATATTTTATAAAATTGTTATTGTTTGGGGTTACAATGCTTCTGCATTTTGATTATTAATCGAGGATGTTTTGTTTAAAATGAGATCGACTGCGTGCTCGTTAGTCACATTGTAAAATTTTGGTTCAGCGTTTATGAATGGATTATCCGACATTATGGTTGTTGTTTGTTGGGGAAAGGTGGCATATCCTCTTTTAAATATACATAGAAGTAGCACCAACTGATGTTTGGGAAAGTAATGCGGTTCCAACCAGGAGGGTTCCTCTTGCCAAGCGTGGCAACTATGGCAAATATACACCTGTGAAGCAATCTATGGGAAAGGTTATAATTAGCAGAGTCCTGTGGTGTTTTTGATGTTAATTATATTTTTATAGAATCGGTTGACAAACGAGCACACAGTCCACCTGATGGTAAGTGGTTGCTGTGGCTCATAGATACCTACATGTATTTTAGATTACGAATCAAAATGCAGATGCGTTGTCACCCGTGAGGACAACGATAGAATGCCTCACTTCTAGTTTAAAGGGGAGACCCTTTTCTCTACACTCACCATACGAAACACAGCAGCATTAAGCTACTATTTTACGCTAGTATTCTGGGAGAGCGTGGTCCTTCCCCGGTCGAGCCGACCCATTCGTGCTACAACTATACTGCTAATATAACTGCAGCATGGCTCTACCATGTATATGTTAGTCATAATGATATAAATTAGATAATAAGATTTTAATAGAATAAGGGTGACAAACGAGCACACAGTCCACCTGATGATAAGTGGATGCTGTGACCCATAGACATACATTTATCCTCGATTAAGAATCAGTATGCTGAAGCGTTTCATCCGTGTGGACTCAGATAGAATACCTCGTTTTCAGTAATAAGTGTCACCAGTTCGCTACACTATATCAGCTGCTATTTCACGCTGGTATTCAGAGAGAGTGTGGTCCTACCCCGGGCGAGCTGACCCATTCGTGCTAAAACCATAATTATAGATGCAACGTACGCAACGTAATAATAGAACTTTTAAAGACATTAAAGTTTTAAAAATCTCTCACTAGATATCACATAATGTCATATTATAACAATTAATTAATAACAAGTTTTCTATTCACAAAAAGAAAATTTGCGTCAGGTTGCAAGTCACGGAAGGCAAGAGAAAAAATCAGGTTAATTGTCCAGAATTGATGACCATCACTTGCATATGGTCAAAGACCTCGTGCGATCATTTACTGTCTATGATCGAGCGTCTTAGTTTCACATTTACATGGCACTTTGTTTAATTTTAAGTTTTAACGTGGACACTTAAATTATTTTATGGAACCCTTTTTAACCGACTTCAAAAAGCAGGAGGTACTCAATTTGACTATATTTTTCTTTTGCATGATGAGCCGTGGTAGCTTAGATGGTTAGCGCTCGCTGTATATTTCACAGTACGCGAGCTAACCGGGTTCGATCCCCGCCGACACCATTGAAATTGTTAAATGCAATTTTAAGAGCTGATCTACCACGTGCTCGGCGGTGAAGGAAAAAATCGTGAGGAAACCAGAATGTTTGAGAAATAAGAAAAAAAAATACTTCAAAGACACGTGAAGTTCGCCAACATGCATTGGTGCGACGCGGCGGACAATTCCTTGCCCGAAAACCCTCTCAGAAATGAGCGGAGGCCTGTGCCCAGGAGTGGGACGTTATATAGGCTGTAACTTTACTTTACTTTTTTAACTTTATTATATTATATTTATATTAATTTGTTACCTGCGACTTCACCCGCGTGAAATTTGTTACGGTTTTATTTCATGGGTTTTAATTTTTTTCGTGCAAACCTAATTCCTTTTCTAAAATAAATAATCAGTGCATAAAAATGTTTAACTAAAAATTCAGTGTAATTCAATATATATATATATATATATATATATATATATATATATATATATATATATATATATATAAAACGGCTGTAACTAACTAACTTATTTTGCATGCCTTAAGCGCAAAGCGCGTAGTTATGTACTAGCGCCTAAAAATCAAGAATGCAACGTTTTGTCGCATGAAATCGTATCTACGTGTTACCTCAGAACTTTTTCCTAGGTGAACCGATTTTAATGTTTGGGTTTTTTTGAACGCTGGTGCTTCTAATGTGATTCTATATAAATTTGATCAAGATCTGACTAGTAGTTTTTTAGTTATCCTTAATAATGCGTATTTAATTGACTTCGACTACATTGATGATGTTCTCATTTTATTTATATTAAAGTCGGTTGTACAAAATTTTTAATTTTACCACTTGTTTACTTAAATACCTTTTTTATTACATCTTAAGGCTCAAGGGTGACAACGCATCTGCGTTTAGTCTCAATGGTGCATAGACTTTTATGTAGATAATTTTTATGTGGTAGAGCCACTCTGCTGCTACGTAATAGTATTAGCACAAATGAGTCGGCTCAATCAGGAAAGATTACGCTCTCATAGAATACCAACGTAAAATAGCTGCTTAGTGTTGCTGTGTTTCGTATGGTAAGTGTAGAGAAACGGTGAAACTTATTACTGGAAACAAGCGCTCTATCTCAGTCCTCTGAACTGTGTGCTCATTTGTCACCACTTATTTAAAATAACACTATTCTTTCGATTCTTTAGACATTCTGACCCGGAACAATCATTTGTAGGCCATACAAATTGTACCTTCCAAGATTCGGACCCCTGGCACTCAGTGCCGAAAACACAAAATAAATAATAGTACTACGTACCGAAACTCCTTATTAAGTTATCGGGGTGATGGCTACTAAGTTATTTCTAATTTATTAGTGTTGTTAATCGTACCATATATGATTGTAAGCTGTTATTAAAAAAAAGTTCCAGTGGGTTTCTTGCCTGGTTCATTCCAGGACAGAGTTTTTTTCCGAACCGGTGGTAAATGAAAAAAGTGACTTGCAATAAGTATTATTTATAATCTATATTGAATAAAAAAGTTTCCGTTCCTGTTGCTGTCATACGCCACGTGGCCGCCAGTATTTTTTTTTATTGGTTGATTTGTTATTCAAATAATCTCCGTCGTATAATATTATTATATAATTTTGTACCGTATGGTACGTTCGTCGTTTCATGGGCTCAACACCTTGCTCGAGGGAGATCCCCCTTCTTGCACTGACTGCTGAATAACAATTTGTACATAGCGTTAATATCTTACCCATAGCAATCGCTATAGTTTGACGATAGTAAAAATTAGTTTAGTATACACCATAACAGCGACGGACGTGAACTCATTAAAATAACATATTTCTAGCATTTAATAATTAATGTAGCTTAAAATATTTTAATCTGATATATATTATTGTTTCATTTAGTTAAATGAAACAATAATTACGAATTAACATAAACTTTTTAATTTATTCTTCTATGTGGTACACGCATGCTACAGCTATGTTTTATTACGGTTGTAGCACAGATGGGTCGGCTCG